GGATGCAAGGGCACGATCAAATAATATTTTCTTGAGACCTCCAGCAGTTGCTACACCCTGTGTGATCTTGTCATACACACGGGTGAATAGTCGAGGTACCGATACGAAAATCGTTGGCCTGAGCTCAGCAAGATCGTCCATTAATTGTAGTAAATCCCCTTGAAAAAATCCAGCGGAAGCACCATACGACTGAAAGAACGCGAGTGTGCCACGTTCAAATACGTGCGCCAAAGGTAAGTATGAACAATGTACGTCCGAGGAACAAATTGGTAAACGATTACTCATCTGCCGTACCACAAAAGTAAAGTTTTTGTGCAGCAAAATTACACCTTTTGGATTTCCCGTTGTTCCTGAAGTGTAGCATAGTGTTGCAACGTCAGTAGGTACCGGTGGATCTGCGGGTTTTGGATCCGCTTGACCCAAAACTTCCAGTTCGTGTAAGCTTCGAAGTTCCACATTCTTTTCCTTTGCTTTTTGTAGCTGCTCATTCGTAATGGGTTCAAATTGAATAACAAGTTCCAAGGTTGGACACTCGGCCACGCACTCCATAACGACGTCAAATTGTTTCTTGCCACAGAACAGCACTCGCAATTCTGTGTGATTTACAATAAAAGGCACTGCATCGGGCCCCAATGTGTCGTAAAGTGGTACAAGGACATAGCTCATACGGTCACATGCGTGACCTACAAGACACCATTCCAATTGATTCTTGGAAAAGACACCAACCATATCTTGGCGCTTCATATGGCCCACAGTTTTCAATCCGCTAGCTATGTGCTCCATGCGAGTCTTTACGTCGTTGTACGACGCCCATTCATACGCTCCAGCCTTTCCAGACTTGGGATCAACAGTGCGTCGTCCGTACAATGGTCGGCTACCATTTTCGATGTTGCAACCGATCAAAAAATTGTGATACAACGTAAGATCGTCTTCACTAATTGGCTCGTTGTCTGGTACAGTGTATGCTGGCCCATGAGTTGCGTCGCGCGTATTGGGTACCTCGACGGTGTATCTTTTACCTGTGTAGGACTCAAAGTCGATTTGACTCATGGGAACCTCGGCGCTGCTGCCTGCACCCATGATGTTGCGGAGAGAATGATGGATAAGGGGGGACTGACCCGTATCTTTGAAGTAGGCGTGCCACTTTTTACGTTGTGTTGAACTTAATCGACGCCACATAAAAAGCTCTAACATTTACACCATAAACTACAATAATTGCAATTTGTCCACAAAAACAGACTCATCACAAATCATAGCGTAATATTTATTAAACAAAGCACACCACCATCTCTAAGCAAGACTCAATGCGTGATTTGCAGCCTATGGTGAAACGCTGTATTCCTAGCGAGTCCTCTTTTTCTATAATTTTGCAATTTTCATTTACTACCCGAAATCGGTGATAGCCCAGCAACTTCCGCATTATTACCTAAAAAAGAAAGCTGATTGGAAAAGCTTTCAAGTGTATCAAAGTTACAAGCCTAGGTACGCTCAATTGAGCACTAAATATTCAATAAAATTACCTCTGCCATCATAAATACATGAATATAACTTTAGGATTGTGCATCCGGATTATAGGTCGTCAGACTTTCATCTGGGCTAGTCAGCTAAAACGGGGTGGCCGTGCACTATGCACGGAGAGCTTTGACTCTAAGGCCCGATCACAAACGCACAGAGGTTGAATTCGTGCGCTCCTGACAGGAACAGAAACGAGAGCCTCTGCCATGACTAGGTGTTTAGTAAGCGCACATTTAGTGTTTATACTTACACGGACAATGGAAATTGCTTTATTTTTTGACGAGCCATATAGTCCTTCTTGTTATAGTTCCATCATCTCCGTAAACACCGAAGTTCTCGGTATTTATGCAATATAATTTCTTACAGTGTATTGTTGCATTTTTGGCACCGTTGTGTTGAATATTCAACATACTGGTGCCAAACGTAGGAGAATCAAGTACACAAACCACAAATCTTACCCACTTCCCTCCCTTAAGTTGTTGACCACATAAAGGCTCTCGTTATAATTTAGGGTGAAAGTTAACACTTTTCCGGCAATTATTTCATCCAGAGTTTTACTTCACTCTCTGCACTTGATCGTGCCTTCTCTTCAAAACATATTTGCATCAGAAGCCCCCTCCAGTTTACCATACTCAATGGCTCAAGAAGCTTCTGCAAAAGGCGCGGACTTTGCGACCGGCGCGTTTGAAGTAATATGCGCTGAGAATCTTGAGGTAATCTCCGATGAGTACCTTCAGTGATTCTCCGAACCCTGGCCAGACAACTCCGCTCTCACCCAGCAATACCCGGGCTAGTCAGTCTTTTTAATGAAGACGCCCACACAGCTCATTCGTGCCGAGGACTGCATGCTCTTCTGCGTTGGAAAGAATTGTGCTACATCCCATCGTGGCTTCTAACTCATTGGTAACGATTTGGACCTCACCTTGCTCGAGGAGTGCGACTTGCTCCATCGTGATCGCAAGAGTCAAGCAGACTTGTGCCCATATCACCACGCCTTCGATTTCAATCGTTCAAAGTCGCCCAGCGCGCGTTGTAAAGTCCCTACACACCGTCGCATGCGGGCCTTCTGGTCAACCCTATGCAACTAGCGCCAGAAAGTTTCTTCTTGAGTTCATCCTCCACCCACAGACCATTATTTCACCGATGTACTGCATGAGCTTGGAGTAGCGGCGGTCGACAGTCCCGCATCGGTCATGAGAGATGTACCTTGGGTACCAGAATTCGGTAAAAGATCCCATAACAATAAAACTCAGTTTGTGCACTGAGTTAGCAAAACTCGACTTTTGTTACGATCTACTTGCTGAATTTAGCGAAGCGGACTCATCTAGCGTTCGACATCATAACCACGAAATGCAACGCGGATGTCGAGGTGCCAAGCTTCTACAACTTCTAGACTCGCTCATCGCTACTGCCCAGATATCATATTCACCGCAAGATCAATTGCCTCGTAATAATAGAAAGTGCACTGCATCCAGCGAGTCTGCCTCCTCTCCAAGGAGATGAATGCCAAAAGTGCACATGGTCGTAATTAGCCACGACACCAAGACAATCTTGCCGACGTGGAGCGTCAAGCTCCCATATATTTATATTTTCCGACCGTAGGTGTCCTCTCTTGGCACCGAGTACTGCTAATAGCGCTGATAGACGCTGGCCAACCAAGCGCTCTAACGCGGATGTAAACCACCCCTTGCTCATCGAGCGATGATGGCGGAGGTTGATCCGCTTGCTGATGCTTGTTCTAAGCATTCTTAGTGACAGCACGTTGACTCTCTGCGCGAGTCTCGTCACCCCACATCTCGAATTGCTCCGTAAGCTTAGTCATCGACCTGCCTGGTTTGAGGCGCCTTCAGCAGCTCGGAACCACGTTGCTGCTTCATAGCAGAGGGTAGCTCAGTTTTAGTGAGTAGCTGAGAGGCTGCCCTGTCTGCAACACAACTCTTCGTATCTGACTGGCGCCTATGAACAGAACAGTGACTTCCTTAAGCCCATGTTGAACTAAGGTTTAATCGCACTCCATATAAGACATTAAAAACTTGATCACATTTTTGATAGGATCGTGATGGTTACTGTGGCATTGTCGCGATGAGTCTTGAAATCACAAATCTGAGCATATACCAGCGATAGGTTACTTTTTTGGTGCTGAGCTCTTGAACAAAGTTCACTGTAAAGTTCGAGTCTAGATCCAACGTAGTGACAAACGGCAATCCATGCTGGCGAAGCACTGCGTCGAGGAAGCGCTTAAAACAAATAATTTACTGGTCACACCATCGCTGATATCGCTGGTAAGTCTTATCGCAATAAGCCGTCATTTTTAGACGGCCCACAAAGGCCACAATGTCGGTATTACCGCACACATCTTTTGAAGGAACGAATACAAATCAGACACTTATGTCCTATATGACTCTGCCGAAACCGGAAATCTGGCCAAAGTTGCCGGCATATGCGGTGAGAGCTTAAGCCACTGAGACATACCACATGTGTTCACATACGTGTTTGATGTTAAGGCGAGTGCGTATGTGTTGGCAAAATACAAAGTGAATAAATCAAAGGTCCTTAGTTCGCTGTGCTATCTCTAAGCCTATCTAGCATAATCTACCAAATATTCTACTGGATTTGTTACCGGATTTATGTACCTTTCATGCGCTTGTGCATGGCCTCTTTGCTGGTTATTGCACTGAATACTTGGCTAACACAACTTGCGCAATCAGCCTGTCCACACCGGTAAAATCGATATCTACCGGCTGGCGGCTGCTCGTCGAATCGCTTCCTTGGCACCACTAGTCTCCACGACAAGGCGCATCTTCGACAACACTCCCACACGACTCGGCAGTATTTGGTGCTTGAATCCCCAGTATGGTACGAGAAAAATTGCGATAATTGCCTTGGCCATTATATTCGCCAACATCTCTGACGTCGATATATATTCAAGAACAACTTGGCTCTCTTCAACTTTTTTGCGTAAAAATGGTAACGAATGTCGATGTGCTTTGTGCGCTTGCGAAACACTTGGCTCTTCGCAAGCGCAACAGAGCCTTGATTGCCTTCAAACCTCTTATCGCTTGTTTCCAAATCATTCAGTTCGCAAAGATACGTCTTGAGTCAAATTGCTTTTTGTATTGCTTCTGAAAGAGCGATTTAAGCTGATCCATCTCCGTCATCTCAAATAGCTCGCTGAGTGCTAGTTCTGTTTCTTCGAGTATATAGAGGCTGTTGCTTGCGAGAATCAAATCGCCAGCTTAGAGTGCCACGAAAATAATATCTTGGTCTGACCGCTTCATGTAAGTGCAATAGTTTGATTCACACTTGTTGAACGCCAGAAGTTGCATGAAGTCATCAATGCTCTTGTTCCACATGCGTAGAGATTGCTTTAATCCATAAAGCGACCGCTTCAACTTGCAAAAACATGGTCGAGATAACTTGCACTGACGTGTCCCTCCGGTTGCGCCAAGAAGAGATATTCTCTAAGCATTTCGTTGAGAAAAGCGGTCTTGACTCCATTTGATGAATCGTCAAGCTGTACTTTGCACTCAAGCTCAACGAGATCCGAATTGACGTAAACTTGGCTACAGTCGCAAATGTCTCTTTATAGTCAATACCGTTCTTCTGTGCAAATTCTTTAGCTAGAAAGCGTTCCTTTTATTGCTCGATCTCACCGTCTTGATTCTTCTTGCCACGAAAAAAACATTTTTTACCTATTGCTTTGCACCCATGTGGAAATGGCACAAGTTCCAATGTCTTGTTCTTGCGAAGTGACTCCATTTCCATTTCACATGCCGTGGTCTATTTGCTTGCGTCGCTGTATTCCATAGCCGACCAGAATGTGGTCGGCATTTCTCTCACTGATACCACGAAAAAGGCAGCTTCAAAAACGTGTGCTGTAGCAGGCATTTAATCAAGTCCTTGATTCTTGCTATGCTGGGTCGTTCGCCTCACTTCCGGGACTTTTAATGCCGATTCTAGTGATTGTTTTCGCTAGAGACGTTTGTTTCCGGACCTGTTTATGCCTTGAAGATTGTCGCGCTGAACGAATCTCTTGGCGCTTGTAAAGTCGGTAGCACTTTCTAAGGACTGCGAACGCTCATGTCTTTTGCTGTTGGTATCCTCACTGCCTTCATGCACCATCGTATAGTTGTCTTGGTTAACAGCATCTACATCACACCTTCATCTGTTGTTGACTCAACATCAACGGCAATTTGATTGTGAGAGTAATCTCGGCTCCCATTATCAAAAGAGTTTTCGAGAAATTTGGCATCGCGACCGATACAAACACGACCAGTTTCGCGATATTCAAACCGAAATGGCTTTTCATGCTCGTAATAGCCAACAAATCACCAAAGTTTTGCGCGGGCATCCAGTTTGCTTCGCGTTTTTTTTGGAGCCGTCACAAAAGCATGACAAACAAATACTTTTAGGTTTGCCAATACTGGCTTTATTTCGATCCAGACTTGGAATGGTGACTTATTAAACGAGTTACTGCGCGTTGTTCATTGATTCCGCAGAAAGTTGGTAGTCATTACAGCTTTGCCCCAGTAAGTCCTTGGCAATATTGCATGCCTGAGCATACAACGAGCACACTCCACCAACATTCGATTTATGCGCTCGAAAACTCCGTTGAGTTGAGGCGTATTTGGTGGCGTAAAGTTTTGCTTAATACCGCGGCGCAAACAAAACTTAGTCATCTCACCTGACCTGTACTCGCCACCATTATCACAACAGATCACTTTCACAACGCTGCCTGTTTGCGTTTCGGCAAGGGCAACAAAATCAACAAACTTGCTGGCAGCTTCTGACTTTTTGAAAGCAAAAGTACCATGATCAAATGCGAGTACTCATCAATGTACGTGACAAAGTACCGCATACCACTAAATGTCGAAGTCTGCATTGGACCACACATGTCACATTTAATGACTTTCAATAGTCTGGCAGCACGCTGAGAAGACTTTGGCTGAAAGCCTGCACGAGTCTATTTACCGATGTACAGCTCTGGCATACCTCCCACTGCTTCACGGACGCAAGTCCGATACCAATCCCATAATTCTTCTTGACAATAACATCAAGACTCGAACAGACAATATGTCCAAGTCGAAGGTGCCAGAGGTACGACGCGGTGTCCCCATACTATCCCAACGAACTTGTTGCATTGGCTTCTTGCACATGAAATGGCTTCATACATAGCTTGAACAGACCTTTTCCTTCGCGCACCCCAAGTTTCCAGCGTAATCCTTTTGCCTCCGCAAAGCACCCATCACGCTCGAAAGTGACTGTATCGACGTCCTTAGCAAAGCATCCGACGGAAAATAGATTGCGGAAAAGCTTCGAAATATGCCATATCAAAGTCAGTAAACCTTTTTACTGCCCTTGTGTCGCTGTCATTGTCATCACAATGTCTCCTGTGTCCACCGCATGAACAATGCCGTCGTCTGCAAGGTGCACGTTAATATTCTTCATGTACTCTTCGAATACGTCATCTGCGGCGTCGCGCCTGAGTCGACCATCCATATGCTGCCTGATTTAGTAGCGCATTCATTCCCACCAACCGAAAAAGATAATATCCCGTGTAGTTTTCAATCTGAGCAGCATTCGCACGCTGCGATTTTCGACGCTGTATGCTCTCACGGATGCATGCGGGAAACTTCGCAATCCAATGTTCCAGTTCCCCACAATAGTGACAGACACTGGAGGTTTTCGTATGCGAAGGACGTCCCTTATACCGTCCGCCGTCTGTCATCGCAAACGCTTGACCTTGACTTTGCGTAGCACCATTCATGCCAATTCCTTTTCTTTGCGTTTCATGACTTCGTGTAGAAGCCCTGATGTCACAAGATCCCACGTGAGCGAGTCCGATCTTGATTCCAAAGCCGTAATGAGAAACGCAAAAGAGTCACTCAAACTTTCAAGAAGCGTGATGACTAAGACACCTCAGTGACTGGAGCGCCCACCGCATCTAGCCGCTCTGCCAGAGCCTTCATCTTGTTGATGTGCGTGAGCACATCATCACCTTCATCCGTCTTAGCCATGAAGAAACGACGACGAAGAAAGAGTTTGTTTGCACGGCTCTTCTTCTCATAATGACCTTCAAGGAGCGACCATGCATCGTACGCTCGACTTGCCGACCGCACGAGAGGAAGTTGCAAGTCTTCCAACGCCAAGCAGATTATTGCAAGCGCTTTCCTTGAATTACGCTTGTACATAGACTGGCCCAGCGAAGTCGTCAGACTCTCCCACTTGATCTCCCCACTTGTGACATCCCACAGATCTCGCTCCTTCAGCTCCATTTGCATCTTACACTGTCGAGTAGCGTCCATGGCGAAGGCGTATTGACGTCTGAGACAAAGAAGGTGGAGCTTGGACTCATAACCTGATGTTAAGGCAAGTGCGTATGTGTTGGCAAAATACAAAGTAAATGTATAAAAGGTTCTTATTTCGCTGTGCTACCGCTACGTCTATCTCGAATAGTCTATCGATTAAATTCATAACTGGATTTATGTACTTTTTATGCGCTTGTGGATTGCCTCTTTGCTGCATATTTCACTGGATACTAGGCTAACCCACGAAATGCAACTTGCGCAATCAGCCTACCACACCGGTAATACTGATATCTACCGGTTAGCGGCTGTTCGTCGAAACGCTTCCTTGGCACCACTAGTCTGCACGAAGAGCCGCATCTTTGACAACAGTGCTTATCAACTTCTATATGTTTTTACCAACATGTTGCGCAATGTCTTTTCTCTTCAAATATGCCACCCAAGGGATTCGTAGAGTGCTCTGTACTTGAGGTAGCCATCATCACACGCTCAATATCATTTAAGTCAAGGCTGTTTTACAGGAAGCCTTGCGATCAAGCATAGTAATGCAGGTGTCCAACCGCGCGCATTGATCAAGTGGAATCTAAAGTTTTAACCTACCTACTTTTTTACAAGCTGTAGAAAACGCAACATATGCTGCGTTTGACCCGCACGCGGTATATTCATCTTATCTAGAGGTGTCGCCATTGTATATGCGACATTTCATATTCTGAGCGACGCAAACGTGTACCACCACCAGATTTTGTCGACCCGGCTAATAACTTTTCTCAAAGGTAAACTTGACAAATAAAGATAAGTATCTTGCCAATATCAGTGCGAACGACGCATGGTATGTCATAATTACTAGAGCTAAACAGACTTATTACATTCAAGTAATTTGCTAGCTTTTGTGCAAATGACGCATGGTAAGCAATGATAACTGGAGCTAATCAGGGTCATTTTGAGCTTGACCGGGGTATATTTCATAGATGTGGCGCTTGTGATAAACAGGGTAGTTTTCCTGGTCAGCTGAGAACTGGCGAGAGTCTATCACGATTACGCATCCATACCCATTGATATCAACTTGGAGTATAGCTCAGCCTATTGCAAAGCGCGAAGCATCGCAAACAACGTAGAACGGTCGCTATGAAATCAGAATATGCGTGAGGAGTCTTTGAAACCTTTGAAAGCTTTCCGCACAGAGTTTTCCATCCTCTTAAAATTGATTCTTGGGGGGGGTCATGCCGGTATAGTTTGCTCTGTATTTGGCCAATTAATCTGCCGGTCTAGGCAGTTACCCAAGTGCATCTGCACTGACCAATCTACAGTGGATTTCACCTTTACCTCACGAATTGTGTCCGCGGAGCTTTTCATTCAATGTATTCCACCCAGGATTTGGCGATGCCAAAGCCCACTTGTCATATTGACAAATGTCAATGTAATGCGCATGTACCCACGTGTGGAATGTGTTTCTTTGCATCTAATGTACCGTACTCAACACGACTTAACCGAATATGCCGTCAGAAGATGTGTGAATCACCACGGTATGGCCTAAAAGGCTGCGTCTGGCGACGATCGAACGCGCTGATGCACTAGACGGTCCATGTGTCATGCTCACCTACTCCGATTGAGTATTTAATGCAGTAAGAGGGATGTCGCTTCTTCTTATGTGTAGTGAAAATTTGCAATCACCAAGTCGAGAACACCGAGCGGGTGCAGCCGGTTTGCTGCTTTGCAGCATACCCATTCTAGAAGTCTTCGATTCCATCGGAATCGAAGCTACATTGTGTTTATTAAAGAATGCACAATTTGCCACGAGCCATTGGTCCCGCTGCCACCGATAGGTGGAACCAGTTAAGATTTTTTTTTCTCCCCACTGCTTGTAGTTCGCTCCAAAGAAAGCGTTAATGACGTCCCACTGCTCCTTTGGTAGGGGCCAGTACCGTGCAACACAATATTTGGTACCGGTAACCATGTTACCTTATAACAGATTCAATTTTGTAGATGATTAACTCAGCTCTCATCGGGTACCAATCACACCATTTTCATGACTATCATCTTGCAATTTCCTGCACGTCTACCCGAAGGATAAATCTTACAGGTTCATAAGCGCACTTGTCGGGGATTTTGATGTAACTTTACAGCCATTAGGACCACCACAGTCACTTCATTCATCTGGTAGTGTTTTTGTCCGTCACTTCCCCGTGAGGACTCACAGATGAAGCGGATCTCCGCCATCGACGTGCATTGTGGTGGCAAATATCAAAGAAAATGCGGTACGGCATATCTTTTATGCACTTGTTACATAATTCGATAATGTCACGATTGTCCTTTTTACTTATTAGTACAGACTGGTGGATCCTACTTGGAAATCTACTCTGGTAGTGAGACTGATATGTCTATACTGTCTGAGGTGAGCGGCTCGCGCCACTCATTTTGCTGAAACTTTCGCAGGGCTTCAAGCTCAATCTTGTCAAGATTTCCCTGGGCTCGATCTCAGTGCGCCTGGATCTTATTACTGAATCCCAGCTTTGAGGTGTTACTTTTGCATGTGTAGATTTTCGCAAATAATCAATACGAGCATTAGTCGTTTAGTTAATGCAGCTTTAAGAACCAAAATCTTTCTTAAATCTGATTGTACCGCTATGACATCTTGTCTCCTCTCAAGCGCAAGCGTGCGTGCCGTGTTAGGGGATATCTCGATATCTTCTTACACTTGGCAGCAATTACAACCGAATCAAGAGTCTGGATACTCTGCTTGTGTGGCCTGCACAGACACTCCAAGCTGTTTGATTTTGAGAAACAATGAAAGGATTAAAGACGGCGATGGACCCGATGCCAGGAGAGCTGTGGAATTGTTGAATGATCACTTCCTTACAACAAAAAAATGCGCAGCCCGAGAGTATTTGCGTGAAGTCATTGGCGAGGCAGCTGTGATCAGCTTTGATCATCGGAATGTGGCTACGAACTTCATGCATTCCAGGATCATGAGTCCGTGTCAAGACAGCAAAAAATTCTATTTTGTGGTTCTGCACATCTTCTTATCGTGGAGAAATAAACGAACTGTCGACGAAATTGTTCGCAGAAATAGTTGCAGCACTTGCTGGGAGACCGCTCGTAGACCCACGTTATTCCAAGTCTTGAACAAAGACCACCAATGCCTTTTTGCCCTGTCGGGCGGCAAAGAAATGCAATCGCACGCGGTATGTCTAGTTATGCGAAAGAACGCTCGCAAAAGCTGCAACGTCAGCTCCGTCCAGGAGGGGAACGCCGCTTCAACCAAAGTGCCACACGTCCGTGCCCACTCTTGCGCTCGGTTCCCGAGCTTGAAGATAGCTAGCGCCACGCGCTGTTGCTCGCTCTAGAGCATGGCGGATGCCATAGATTCTCTCCATCCTTGTCCTCAAAGACCTTACCACCCACCATGAGCGGCTTACGCCAGGGGGAGTCGTCCGTCGCCGACGGTGGCGTCATACGCAGTCTATGCCGACATTTTCTGCTGTAGGAGCTCTAGCAGAGCATTTTTATAGCCTGAAAACGCCTGTAGGCGCGATCGCTTCAGGTCCTTGGATGCGAGGTGTTGCACGCCCTCAGGACCAAGCAGAGACTTCAGCTTTTTAAGCCTGTTCTGCATGCCCTAGGGCAAATACTGCTCCTTCCTCACAGAAGGTCAGTCGTAACGATTCAGGTGTAGATTGACTGGAAGCGCTACCAAGTGCAGCGTGGCTGCCGTAGCTCTTTTGCTTAGAGAAAAGTTGGCTAAGTTCCGTGACCTTCTTTCTATACTTAAAACCAGTACGAGCGTAGCGGAACGCAATTCGCTTACTCCGAGGGCAGATTCAACCTTGACCCGAGGCCAAATTTCATCCTTTTAAGACGTGAACTGTATTTCTCGGTTTTATTTTCCGCCTACATCTAAATGTATAGATTTATCTCTAAATAAAAACCTCATTGAATGTATAACTATGGCTGTTCCAGCCCATTTGCGGTAACTTGTGTGATGTTCTCAACAAAAAAAATAGATAATAATATATTCAATCTATTTTCAGTACTATGATAAGTTAGCCAGTACTGTTTTTAGTTAATTTATGATTTTGGTACTTGAATACGTTGATTTGAGGTCCAACGACATAATTTTAGTCATTTAACAAATAAACTCATGACCTCGAAGCAAATAGAGACCTATTTCAATTTTTCATTCATTTCAATTAGACGTACTGATATGTTGTTTAAGTGTAGCTACAACATTGTGTGATCACATCACAAGGTGTAATCCACACCACGTTGTTATCACATTACCTTTTTATGACCTTCCTACCCTGCTCCGTCGGAACCATGATGTGATTAACAACATCCGACGAAAAGCTGCTATCTCCGCAGTCTTCGTCCAGTGGATAACGTGCCACGCCATGCTAATCGAAAGGGTGTCGCCCAAGATGCCTTGGAGCTCGCCTTCTCTTGCTATTCTTGGCATGCAGCGACTGCTTCGGAACGTGAGCAGTGCTCAGTTGGTTTCGTGCCACTCCACGTTCAGCCCGCGAGCCAAGCTCGAGACTTCTGTCCAAAACACCTTCGTGTTCGACAGCTCGGAATCTCCGATATCTAGCACATTGACCGTCCCGGTCCAGTACCCGCGCCAATAGCGTTTCTGCTTCCTAGCAGGTGGGTTCATGATCAACAAAGCTTCACCAGGAGACGTGCGCACAGCATCCGAAGTCTTCGACATCCAACCAATATATGGCATATGGTGTTCCAACCATGCCATACCCAGGATAAGGTCATACCTTGCATCCAAGCCTAAGTATAGAAAGCGTTCCACGCTATCAAAGTCAAGGAACTTGACACCGAGGTCCACAAGGACCCTCGGCATAGTGATTAAGTCCCCGTCGCTAAGCGAACAGTGACGGTATCCCTCAACCGCGCTTCCAGCGCCTCAGAATACAGCTAACTTCATTCGATCGTGGAGCGTCGAGCATAGTTGCCTGACGCACCGGAATCGATAAGGATTATTCATAGTTTCT